TAGTAGTAGTAGTAGTAGTAGTAGTAGTAGTAGTAGTAGTAGTAGTAGTAGTAGTAGTAGTAGTATAGTTAGTCCGTCAATGTCTGACGACGACCAAAGCGTTAGCATAGCAGGATAATATGTGAGACGAGCTGACAAAATGAGTTATTTCTCGCAATCCACAAATGGAGATGTAGGCCAAAACTCAACATTAGGGTCAAATTTGTAGATTTTCTGTTGATGTCATATTATTATTCTTAAACTGTAACCTGTCTTTTATTATTTCCTACTTACAAATTGTAGATATACAAATGTCACCTATAAGAGTGATGTGTCTATTTCCATAGGGGTCAAACACGAGAAGTAACTCATTTTGCCAGCACACTGCACATATTGTTTTAAGGCTAAATAGAAGAATTAACAATTAAGATGGCTTGTGGCTTCCGCTATCATAGCCAATGAGAACAAATCTGGCACAGAAAAGATCTTACTAAAACAAGCGCCCAGTTTTGTATCCTCCAACCTAGAAGCTAAAAGCTCCGTACTGTCCACTTACAGTGCAATGTACAAATATTTCCAGATGTCCAGATGTCCAGACGTGGCCAGAAATAACATCTGTCCCTACCCGGATGACCCACACCAGCCACCAACATTAGTGGGTGGTTGGCGGCTGCTCTGTTGAGGCTTGTTTCTCCTTTTCTATCAAACATCTATCGTCCATATCTCCCATTCTTCTTTTTTATGTTAGTTACTCTCTTGTAACACCTCTAATCTTCTGGCGCTCATATGACCTTATGCAGTTGCGAGTACCGTAAAACCTCTACTAAAACTAAACTAAACACCAACATTACCAATTATTTAATGGCCGACAATAGTGCGTTCTAAAATTCGTGGTGCAACTTATCCTCAAATCTCTTTAACGGGTGAATCAATGTCATCCATACCTTGCACAGCAGTTTGCATTAATTTGTCTTAACGTAATCATATTTTTCCACAACAATTGAGGCCAAATTAGACAAATTTTTTTTTCATTAATGTATATAAAATACTAAAAATCTCCGTCCCGCGGAAAATGGTATTGTTCACAGCACTTCCCGCTTCTCACACACATTTTGCATATTATGCATATAGCATGCGTCACAGCTCACCAATGACATTTTTAAGTTGCAAAACTTGTTGCAAGAAATTAATATTATAATGACCACTTTTGCTCACACTAAAGGTTCTAAAAACCTGAGTTCAATAAAGATAGGGTCACGATTAGAAGAAAAAAAATAAGACTTGCTTCTAAAAGCGATATTGCCCCAGCTGTAAACCTTTTAAAATATGTAGAAACCACCCACTTTGATTTTTTATGATTATTTATTAAGGAATTTTCTAGAATAGAGCTAACAGGTTTTCTAAAAAATATTGATCTGTTAAGACAAATTGGTACAAGTCAATTTGCAAAAACTGGAGAGTCTACGTTCTATAGTTAAGGAAATGTTTGACTATAAGTTGCACCGCGAATTTTTGACCACACTATAACTGGCTCTATCTCCCATGTTGGCAACCACTGATCTAGATCTATACGTTTTCTTACACAAGGTATTCGTCTGTCTTAAATAACCAGGTAAAAAAAAACATGGCTTGAGCTATGCCGAGAACTCTGGCTATCCCAACTTCTTCTCTAGCCTAACATTGATATAGCCTGCAGCGGCACATAGGACAGGGTGTGTGTGTGTGCCCGTGTGTGTGTGTGGGGGGGGGGGAGTAAAATAGCGAGGATTTTGAGGACCATGAAGTAACAGGCAACCACGACCATCCATCAATCACAGAGTGATAGCCTGCTGACGTTAAGGGTTCGCGCCACTAAGAGAAATCTGGACGTTTTTGAATGGCGTCAAGTCATAAAGAGACGCTAGTTCCTGCAATGTATGTCGGGCAGCACGCTAGCGGAGAGTTACAACGTTCTATCTGCTCAGTGCCTAGTTTTGATAAATTAGACTTTAAAAATTACGCGTTTCACAAAATGGCTAAGCTTTTTCATAAAATGTGAGGCAGCGTGGGGGAATCAGGCTCTCGTCAAAATAGTCAAAGTGAAGAAACTTGCATTTTTCCGCAGGTTTTTTAATTTTTTTCAAATTTTTGTTTTTTGGCTCAAAACCTTTCAGACCAATTAAAGAACTCATTTCATTGTGGATATTTCTTTAAAATGTTGATTAAAGGCGAAAAAAAATTAAATTTTCAGTTACCACGGACTCTCAAGCTAAGGAAATAACTAATCTTTGGCTGCCATTTTCTCACTAATTTTACGTCTGAAAACAGGCGACCCCCATCTCCTTCATTCGCAAATATCTCGACTTGTATTCAAGATAAATGGATATTTTTTAAAATCCAAATAAAGACTAGTGAACAAGCTTTAAGATGATACCAATAACTCTACAAGCCCAAAAATTGACGAGAGCCTAATTCCACCACGCTGCCTCACAATAATTTTATTATGTTGGTAGAGCAGATCGATATTCGTTTCTAACCTCAT